GGTAGTGGTGTTATAGGAATTCTAGTCCCTGTCGTAGCGCGCTTTGCTGCCGCGTCAGCAAGATCATTTCCGCATATCCCCACGTGACTTGGGATCCAGCATAGAACGACCGTTTTTCCTGCTCGATCCAGTGAGCTAAGACGAGATTGAATGTCCTGAACCAGTGGATTCGACGGGGAGAAGCCGCTAACAGCCAGCAGGCTGCTCAAGGAGTCGGAAAGAATTAAATGCAGATTGCTATCGTCCACTTCAACAAAACAGAGAGCTTTGCTATTGGCTATAAGCTCGGAAGTGTAGACCGACGCGTGTGAAGGCAGTGTGAATGACCGTGTGGTGGATCTGCACACAAAAGCGCACCCTACACCTGCATCCGTCTTCGAACCATCTGTATAAGTCATCTTGTACCCGTCAAAGGAGGCCATGTGCTCTAAGGCTGCGCCTTTGAGTTCCGTCATGAGGACACGTTGCTTTTGCATATTTGATAGAGAGACATCCACTCTTGGCGATGCTAGCTCCCAAGAAGCAGTCTCCATGGGTTTAGGTCTGATGATACGCCGTAGGTTCAGGCCGCTCGCATCTAAAAGCTCTCTCATTCGTACACAGAAGGGAAAAGTTTTAGGTGACCGTTGACGTAGGAAAAGCCTTCGTAAGCTACGCGAAAACACTGCTTTGTAGGTGGGATGATCTGGGAACTGCGCCAGCTTGCACGTGTAGCGCAGTCCCAGCATCTGCCTTCGCAATGCTAGTGGGGGCTCGTGAGCCTCCACCAGAAGACTGTCTATGGGCGATGTCCGAAAAGCCCCTGTGGCGATACGGAGTGCGGCGTGATGCACCGTGTTCAGAGTACGTTTGATCAGGTCTGATGAGCTGTCGTAGATAAAACAGCCGTAGCCAAGTTTTGAACAAATCAGGGAGCGGTATAGGAGTAAGAGTGTCCTCCTATCAGCACCGTATGACGTTAAGGATGCACCTTAGGATGTTAAGAGATTTTAAACATTTGTCGCGGAGATTTCTGATGTGCTCACGGTATGTTAGGCGTCGGTCAAAGCGTACACCGAGAAATTTCGCGGTATTCTCATTGGCGACGCGTTGCCCATACAGCCTGATTTCCATATCAGGACAGTGACGGCGACGACGACAGAAATGAACTGCAGTTGTCTTCGATGTAGAAAACCGGAAACCGTTGAGCACACTCCACTTCTCCAGACGTGTGACAGCCAGCTGCAGCTGTCGCTCCATCGTGCGAGTGGTCGATGAGCTACACCAAATAGCGAAGTCGTCTACAAACAGAGAACGGCTGATCCCATGTGGAAGCGTGTCCCCTATGTCGTTTATCATCACTGCGAAAAGAATGACACTTAATACGCTGCCCTGAGGCACACCATTGTCCTGTGGATACCTGTCGGATTGATGAGAACCAACACGCACCCGAAAGAATCTGTCAGTCAGAAAGTTTTGTAAAAACTTTCTCATGTGACCACGGATGCCACAATCGAGTAACTTCATCATAATTCCATGTCTCCATGTGGTGTCATAAGCTTTTTCTATGTCAAAGAAGATGGCGCCGGTATGACGCTTGCTACTAAATCCGGCTCGCACTGCGGTATCAAGAGTTAAGATATGGTCGATCGTGCTCCTGTTCTTACGAAATCCGCACTGAGCATTCGTGAAAAAGTTCTGGCGTTCTAAAGTCCACGAGAGCCGCACATTCACCATTCTTTCCATGAGCTTACAAAGCGAATATGTGAGGGCGATCGGGCGGTAGTCAAGAGCGTTCGTCCCACTTTTCCCGGGCTTTAAAATAGGCACTACTATTGCTTCTCGCCGATTGGCGGGAAGTTACCTGACACCCATATGTAGTTGAAAACTGCCAGCAACGCTCGTAGTACACGGGGAGGAAAATGCCGTATCATATCATTGTGGATGAGGTCGGGCCCCTCCGCTACACTACGCAGCGAGCGAATGGCCGCCTGAAGCTCCATCACAGTGAAATGTTTGTTGTACGTCAGGACGTCATCTGTACAAAAATTAACCTGCGAAGTTTCACATCGTGCCCTGTGCCGCAAAAACCGTGGATCGCAGGTGCCATTTCGGCAACGGTCCGACAGGGCTTCCCCAGTGGCTTCTGCCACATCACTTGGGTGAGTGATGTCTTGGCTTCCCACTCGCAGTACGGGAAGGGAAACTGCTGGATGCAGTCTAGCGATTCGCTTAATGCGGCCCCATACCTGTGACGTCGGCGTGTGGCGATTTAGTAAATTGACGTAGCTGCGCCACGATGCACGTTTCGCTTCTCGTATAGTGTGGCGTGCGGCCGCGCGTGCTTGCCTGAAAGCCAAGAGGTTTAATGTGCTGCTGTGCCGGTCAAAAGCCCTAAAAGCTCTCCGACGTGCACGAATAGCGTCGCGACACTCGTCGCTCCACCAAGGTACAGGGGTACGACGAGGGCATCCGGAGGTGCGCGGAATGCATCCTTTCGCCGCATCCAACACGAGAGACGTAAATTCCTCCGTAGTCGGAGTTGCAGAGTCGAAATCGTTGGAAAACGTTTCGTCCAGGCGAGTCTCAAATCCCCTCCAGTCCGCCTTCTTGAAATTCCAACGCTGAGGTCGAGTACCAAGAACAGTACCACCACGGTACCGAACCCAGACCGGAAAATGGTCACTTCCAAGGGGGTCCTCTGAAGCATCCCAGGTGAAGTGTGGTACCAACTGCGGACTACGAATGCTCAGGTCTAGCACCGACGATTGTCCGGATGGCAATGTAGAATGCGTTCTTGATCCTGTATTTAAAACGCACAGACCTTCGTCACGCACGAGAGCCTCACATAGCCTCCCGCGAGTGTTCGTGGAAGCACACCCCCACACAGTGTGATGTGCATTAAAATCGCCTAAAACGAGTAGAGGGGGAGGAAGTTGAGAGACTAACTCTCGCAGTCCTCCAGATGGAAATGAAACCCCAGGTGGCAAGTAGAGAGAGCAGACAGTTATGGTGCAGCGGTTGAAATTCACCGTTGCTGCGACAGCCTGCAAGTCTGTTCTCAACACCAGACGCCGCGTAGGTACGCTTTGGTGTACAGCCAAAAGAACGCCACCGTAAGCAACGGTGTCTGTTGGCATGTCAGTGCGGAAGGTAGTGTACCCTTTCAGGCTGAAGGCCGCATCAGGCGCCAGCTTGGTCTCCTGGAGACACACGGCTACCGGGCAGTGCGCGCTTAAAACTGTCTGCAAGTCCTGGGTGCTTGACCTTACACCTCTACAGTTCCACTGTAAAACTGACTGAATGAAGAGGCTTTAGAAGCACTGTAAGGTTTTAAAAGAACTCAGCAGCGCTAGAGCCTGGCCCATGGTTGTTGGTTTTGTCGTCAGAACCCGAGGTCCACGCTTTTCCGGACGCCCCGTCCTAAACTGAGCCGGCGCCGGCGACGCCGTGGTCCTAGGCGGCGGTGGTGGTGGAGCACCCATAGACGGGTCTCTCCGCGAGTCGGAGGGGCCTGAGGGAGCTTCCACACGCTTTCGGGGAGGTGGGACTACCTCCCCCGTGGGAGCAGGCCCGGGGCCCGCACCCGACAGCTGACTGGCTGCCTTTGCCCTCTCCTGCTCCTGAAGGCGTGCACGCTTTGCCTCGCGCGCCCGTCTCTCCGCCTCTTGGCGCTCAAGGTTGTCCAGTTTCCGTCCCATCGTCTCACTCAGGGTTGTACGACGTGATGCTCCTGGGGAGGACGGCTGTGAAGCCGGTGATCGCGCGCTTACTGGCGAAGACCGAGAGGTTCGGCCCCGGCGGGCCACGGCCCACTCATTGCTTTCGGCTGGTGCGGGGTGGGGCGGCGAGGTAACAACTGGCGCGCTGGCCTGTGCCTCAGAGGGGGTACAAGGTGCCAACGAGACGGGGGACGACAGTGTTGCCGATGCTGTGGCGTGCACCTGAGACGCCGGTACAACCGACAGCCCGAACGATGTAAGCAGTTTAATGAACTGCGTTCCAGTCATCTGGTCGAAGGAGACCTCAGGTGGAACATGGGCCTTGGCCGCCGTGGCATATGATGTCAGGGTGGATTATTTTGATGTCTTTAAGTTTAAAATCGGGCGGTAATTTTTGGGTGATATGGAGTTAGTTCCCCGTCCTTTAGGCCAACGTTTGAATTTGAAGTGACCTTCAGCGGTCAGGATTTTTTGACGGACGCTTTTGACTAGCTCTTTCTCCGGCGATTATTTTGATGTCTGAGTTTAAAATCGGCTGGCAATTTTTGGATGATATAGTTCCCCGTCCTTTGAGCCGCGTTCGACCCTGAAGGGTAACCTTCAGAGGTCAGGACTTTTTGACGGGCGCTTTTGACTAGCTCTTTCTCTGGTGATTATTTTGATGTCCTCAAGTTTAGAATCAGCCGGTAATTTTTGGGTGATATGGAGGTCCCCATCGGTTGAGCACACGTTTGACCTTGAAGGGTGACCTTGATAGGTCAGGACTTTTTGACGGACGCTAGCTCTCTCTGTGGTAAATGTTCTGATGTTTGTACGTAAAAATCCGCCGGTAATTTTAGGTTCATGTAAAGTTCCCCGTCCTTTGATTCCGCGTTTGACCTTGAAGGGTGACCTTGAGAGGTCAGGACTTTTAGACGGACGCTTTTTTACTGCGTTCTAAGGCTCTGCTTCTTTAGTTCCGTTGCAAGCACGCGTTGCTTTCGCATGCCTAACACTGAAAAATCCACTGTTGGCGACGTGAGCTCCCTAAGAGCAATCTCCATGGGAGAAGTCTGACGACGCATCGTAAGTTTAAGCCGCTCACATAGAACTGACCGCACGCGGATACGAAAAGGAGAAGCTTGTCGTGAGCGTTGAAGCTGAAACGGGCTTCGTATGCTCAGCGAAAACGCCGCTTCGTAAGTCGGATGGTCTGGGAACTGTGCCAGCCTGCAGAAACTGCACAGGGCAGTCCTGTGGATGGCGCAATTCATTCTTCTTTTGCCTATAACGTTAAAGCGTACTGATTCGTTGCTCGGCATAATTTATATTTGTATATTTTCCCGGGACGAAACCAAAGCCGATGCGATCATTCAAACATCGAAGTCACAGAACAGCGAGCGGATTCAATACGAGGTGCATCCAAACACAAAGTTAGTTGATTTTATCGCTAACTGACATTACAGCGTGACATAACCTACGTTATCACAGCACCGTCCAACACATCTCCGAGAAGGCGTCAATCACACAGTACCAAAATTACAAAACAACACTGCACGCCTCCATTCTTCCCGCAATATTTCCAATCTGACCAAACACTACCAATAATGGAAAGATACGCTTGAGATATGTTTGTGAAGCCGAGCGATTGCCAGCTTACCAAATGACCTCGCATGTTTTACTTTCAGAGGCGCGCTCATCTAAAGCATAGAAGCGAATGCTACTATCCAAGGGCTCATTAACTTGCATTCGCCTCCCCAGCTACGATTGAACGGAACTTGGTTGCGTTCCACAGGTCCACATGACACACGCGAAGCACGCCATCGGATACAGACGGTCCACTGAGCGGATGCCTCGTTCACCGCCGCTTGCTGCTCCGACGTTTCTTCTTTCGGACGCAGGAGTTGGTACGGGGCCGCTTGCGCTTTCGAGCCCCGCGAGCGGCCGCCGCCGCCGGCACGATCTGAGGGCCTCCAGACGCTGAAGAGCAGGCCGACTGGTCTAAGACGCCTTCGTCTGAAAACATACCCAGCTTTAGACGGGTGATCACGGCGCCACTGTGCGGCGTGGGTACGTCACAGGTAAGTTCCAAGCCAATACACAGAAAAGTCCATCAGCACCATCATCATCATCATTACCCGTACACGATTACTTCAGACAATGTTACAAAGGGCACACCAGTAAGGCGTTCATCCACGCAATGGTCGCAGTGGGATATCAGCGCAGACAGTGGCGGCTAAACTGGTGCCGAGCCACGGCGACCGGGCGGGTCGGCGCCGCCCTGGGTCGAGCTGAAGCCAAACCCCGGCAGCTGGCGGAAAACCTCCCAAGTCACGTGTCTCATGATGTTCTTGACCTTGCTCGGCAGTGAGCCGTTAACTTACGGAGCCTGTCGCCCCACACGCCTCACCACCTGCAGCCGCTGGGTGTCACTGCGCTTGGCTCTGTCACGCTACAGTACAGATCGGAGACAGCGCACTCGTCGGCCGGTTACCCTGCGTGGCGTAGCTGCGCTGTGCGAAGCCACTTATCTTAATGGTGAAGGTGTTGATGGTATTTGTTTAAGGGCACTTGGACAACGAGGTTATTTTGCGCCCCTCAATACAGGTTCCAGCGTTGCACCTTCATATAAGGAGGCCCAGCATATACAATTGCTAAGTACGTGTGTGTTTAGAGGGTGAGGACATTTGCGATGCTGCAACATGCGCATGGACCTATCAGCCCAAGGAGGAGTAAAAAATTGACGTCTTTCCGTTTTGAAGCGCCGACAAGAGACCACGCCTCATTCAACAGACCACCGTTTCCACATATCATCTATCAAACTGTTCTGTTTCGTAAAAAAGAACGCGTGCATTCACCTGTATGGCCCCAACGAAACCTTTCGAGCGGAACTTCTCGGCAGCGGCTTCGGTGGTGGGAGGAGGCTTAAAGAATACCGATCTGATATCTCGAGCAGGTACATAAATGGCATTTGGCCTGCGCACACATGCAGCCGCCCTCGCTGAAGCATCTGCCTCCCCACTTCCAACTTTTCCCATGTGATGGTAATTCAGGGTGACAGGCTACGTATTGAAGGGTTGCAAGAATCACGAAATTTGTGGACAGAAGACAGACATCTGGTGGCGGAGGCGAAGACGAAGGGTACATGTAGTCTTCACAAACAAATATGCAGGCAGTTTCTGCCGGGCCGAGCTTAAGGCGCCGCTGCCTGTTGGTGCGGCGGACATTCTTAAGATATTTTGTAAACTCTAAGAGAGCTGCCAATGGGGTTGCAGAAACCACAACCCCACTCGGTGACAGTTACATGCTGGAAGAAGTACACACGCGCGCACGGCACGTTCGCCCGCAGCGGAGTCCGCGAGCTCGTTACCGAGGATGCCGGCTTGACTGGGAGTCCAATATTGTGCCTGATCGATACCGCGACCCAACCACCATCCACCAACATGCGGTAACAGCAGCTGAGTTTGCGTGAGGTAGTTGAGTTTGATCACATCCGAATGTGACAGGATGATGACCCGGAAGGGTCAAGGCGTTCGCCCGCAAGCGCGCACAGAAGATTGCTCTTGTGGAGACGGCCGGCGTTGTCTTATCAAATTACGCGAAAATGCATCAGATTACACACGCCGCGGTGCAGATGGACGATGACAAATAAGGGGCACCACTTCTACGGGGAACGATTTGAGGAAGGAATCCTGATGATAACCTGGCGGGGATTTTAACACCTGCTTTCTTGACGGAGCAGGCAGGCAGCGTCAGCCGTTGTATGAGGGGGATCGTGCACGGGCATCAGTTTGTTTTCCTTACAGTGACAGTGCGTGAGAGTCACACAGCAACACAGCAAGCCATACAGCGGCACAGTAAGCCAGTACACATCGAGATCACAGATGTGGACGCCCTCATCGCAGAGCCGATCCAGGGTGCTGGGCAGCAGGGCAGCAAACGCCTCGAGTGCCTCAGCATAAATAAATCGGTCATGCACCTCAGCACGAGAATCCCGCAAGCAAACTGGTCAGGGAGGCATACAGTTGTTGATTATATGTTGTGGTGAGCTCCGACCGCGGTACCAATGGGAGCATCTGACATGGCCGAGAACGGACCGCCCGCGTACTGCGTAAGCCGTCCGCTGGCGAAACACAAATGCAACGACAATGTCGGGTTTTGCTGCGCCGACTACGACTTCGCCCACGAGTGCTCCCGCGCTGGCCACTGGAGCCCAACGGACCGGTCATCACGTTTCACAAAGGGGTCAATTGAGAAGCAAAAGATCAGATGACGCTTTTAATGACGCTATGGGCGTCCTGGCAGAAACCTCATACCATCATGGTGAAAAGGGTGCAATCTCGCAACGATGAAGACCAGGATCGGCAATGTCTGGAAGAAACGGCAAGCATATGCAAATGGACGCAGTCGTGGGTGGAACTCTGTTCAATGGCCCTGGGTGGAACTAGCGCACCTCGCAGGGGCACCGGCTTCGGTCGGTGTAGGGGACTAGCGCCCCCTCGGATCCCAGCTCCGGTAACGGGTGGACTGCGCAAGCTGTTCCCCTCAGGGCGTAGCGACCCTGCCGGTACGTGAGCTCCCGCTCTTTGTCCCGCCCGCTCCCTCCCCATTATCCGCTTTCTTGCATCCTGCCCACTCGTCACCCCTAATCCTCGTTTATAGGGGTCGCCGTGCCCCCTCGCCCGCGTCCCCGGGTTGATCGGATCCTGGTGGCTGAGGGGCGCGTCGTGCGGGTCAGTCACGGAGCGTCCCAACACCCCACCTTGGCCAGAATATCCGGGGGCGTGGGGGGCCCGTGGGGCCCCACACAGGTCTAGCGGCCTGTCGCTCGCGTTGCGGTTGGGTGCTCCTTGCGGGTCTCCGCTTGGGGCGCCTGGCCGCGCGCAGCGGCTTAAGGGGTCAAGGGGCGGCGGCGCTGAACCGCGGTCAGGACGGGGAGGGGTCTCCCCGGTTACACCTGGCTGTGTGGGAGGCGTCGTTCGCCCCGTATAGCACCGGGGTAGCCCTGGCGGTGACCACCTCCCGAGGGAGTGTTGGGCCGTCCCCCAGCTGGGCTCCGTGGTGGGTGGGGAGCCCCGGTGCCGAATGCTTGACAAAAATTGCATGGCTTCTCAAAACACAACAAACACCCGGCCCCCGAAAGGAGGTCGGGCAACGCTGAGGCCCGGGTGCGAGGAGGATTCGGTCCCCCCTTGCCCTCGGATTCTGATTTTCCCCAGCAGAGCTGTAAATCTTTCCACCCTGTCGCCGTTCCAACGACGCAACGGCTGTGACAAGTTTGGAGACATCACGAAATGTGACAAGCTGAGGGATGGCAACATCGAGGTAGAGTTCGCCAGTAATCTGGAGGCTAAGCGTGCAATGGAAGCAAAGGAGTTCATTTATAGCATTCGTGATGAGAATGGGAAACACCAGAAAACCGTGGCTTTGACAGTAACGCCACACAACACAAAACAACTCATCTAGAGGCGTCGTAAATTGTTTTGACCTTCGTGATGTAAGTGAGAGCGAAATCGTCGAGGAGCTTTCGAAGTTCGGCGTAACCGCCGCGCGTAGAATCCTGGTCAGGAGAGGAGGAGAACTTAATGCTACGAACATCATTCTCACTTTCAATCGTCCAGATTTACCATCAGATATCCGTGTGGGCTATGCCCGCGTGAAAGTCCATCCTTTTGTTCGCAACCCAATGCGTTGTTTCCAATGTCAACGGTTCGGCCATACGAAACCCCATTGTCACAACAAGCCAGTGTGCAGCAAGTGTTCGTCCACGACCCACCTGAGTGACAACTGCACCGCTAACCAACCTTGTTGCGTCAACTGTGGTAAGGACCAAACACCACACACTGTGTTTGACCGCACATGTCCCGCGTTCGTGAGAGAAAAGGAGATACTTTTGAGAAAATCGAAAAAGAAGTTGCGACGAGCAAAGGCGAAACAGCATTGGAAAGTAGTGCGCGTGAACTGGTCCCACATGTTTCATTATCCTGAGGGACGACAGTTCCAGCATACTTCTATGGCGCTGCGACGGAAAAAAAACATACATTGGAAGCACGCTGGTATGAAGGCATGGCCACAGACAAACCGCGTTGCATAGTGGACCTTCAGATCACACTTAGTTGCTCACACTTCGTGCTCAGATGGTACGGACGGTGGCGGCAGGAAACTTAACGCAACCTGCACCTTATGGTGTCTGCGTGGCGTTTCTCGTTTCCGCGGGTAAAATGTGGCATTGTGAATATTTGGAGCTTGACGAGGAATCATCAGAATCCTTTGAACGCGATGATCGCGGTGCGATGCCAGAAGTCAGAAGTGTTGCCACGCGCCTGCGCAACAGTTCCAGTGTGCCGGCAAGATCACACTTGCCAGCGCGACTCCCGCCTGGACACGACGAAGCGTCTCACACGGGGTTACGTTATATTTTCCTCGTTGTCTTCGACGTCGGGTTAGTTTAATTTCTCGTGGACGGTGTCCTTGTAAAAGGTAGAGAGTTCTTGTTCTTGTGAAAGGTTGAGTGATCTGTGGTTCATATCGCCCGATGTTTTTTTTTTCCGTTTCGTGTCTCCGTCTCACCAAATCCGTGAGGTACTCACACAGCCTTCAGCGACACTACCAGGCCTGAAGTCTACGCTTTATCAGCCTTAAGCCGCACTTGATCGCCTTCAGCACTCACTTGTAAGAAACACGCAGACACAGCACCAAGCACAAAAAACATCCAACATGCCGCCAGAGTCTCCCTCCCCACCCCCATCGCGCCGCGATCTGGGACCCACCCCTCGCCGTGGAGCCCGCAACCCCCCCCCCCCCGTCGCTTGAGCCGCCGGACGGGTCATCGTTTGTTTTAATAAAAAAATAGACACCAAAAATTTTGACACACTAAACCCATTCGCAATCCGCCGCGAGCTGGAACACTACGTTGGCGAGATGGTGGGGACCAAACCCCTTCGCTCGGGGGCTATGCTGATAATGGTTTACGGCGCCCATCAGGCTTCCGTCCTTTTAAAACTTAATCGCTTCCT